GTTCTCAGTGGTAGCCGATGACAGAACAAAGAGGAATGGTCTCAAGTTGCAGTGGGGGAGATTTAGGTTGGATATTAGGAAAAACTTTTTCACTAGGAGGGTGGTGAAGCACTGGAATGGGTTACCTAGGGAGGTGGTGGAACCTCCTTCCTTTGAGGTTTTCAAGGTCAGGCTTGACAAAGCCCTGGCTGGGATGATTTACTTGGGGATTGGTCCTGCTTTGAGCAGGGGGGTTGGACTAGATGACCTCCTGAGGTCCCTTCCAACCCTGATATTCTATGATCAATTAAATCTGAGTAGTTGAAATTACGGTATGCATCTGATGAAGTGAGCTGTAGCTCACGAAAGCTCATGCTCAAATAAATTGGTTAGTCTCTAAGGTGCCACAAGTACTCCTTTTCTTTTTGCGAATACAGACTAACACGGCTGTTACTCTGAAACCTATTTATTATTGTTTTACTAGTTTTTGTGTCCTCTTTGATTACTTTTAATATTGTACATCCTCTATCACTATCCTTATCCAGAGGCCACTACTAAATTGCCATTCTTCTGAATTGGAATTTGTATCCAGATAGAGTACCTGGCATCTACCTCTCCAATCAGAAATTTTATTTCAAAAGAGTCTGAGATTACAATTGAATCAACTTGACATTTTGTTTCTTTGTCTTTTTACTAAAGCTTGGGGGTGCAAATTCTATCTTTTGAGTCCTCCTCCAACATCTGCGATATTTGGGGACTTGACACTTCCAGGAGGTACCCCTCATTTTCCTCCAGTAAAGACCACTATAACTACTGAGAGCTCATTCAGTATCTCCCCCCTGTTACTCACTGCTGCGTTTTTCTCAGCTCTCAGTCTCCAAGTGCAGCCTGTGCTTCTGGGAACTGGTAGGAGAGGAGTTAATCACTGTAGGTTCAGCTTTCTTCCACCTCCCATCCTCTTGGTTTAAGGGGCGAGGGTCCAGATTTTTAAATGTGTTATGGATTTGGCTAACCTTATTGAAGTTGGTGGGCGTAACAATGGCCTTTCTTTCAGGATAAGTGTAAAAAGTATGTGTGTGTGTGTGTTTGTGTGTGTGTAAAAGCCAAAACAAGCACTGGGAGCATGGAGCATGGCCTAAGAAAGCCTAGAGGGAGAGATTTTTGGTTTGAGTGCTAGCTGAAAGTGGCTTGGAATTTTGGGCAAAGGACATGTCTGCTGTTGTTTGATTCCTACTGTGTTCAGGGAAACAGGATGTTAGGCTCCTAAGTCACTTTTGAAAATGGGACTTAGCCATCTAAGGCCATATCTACACTACACATGCTACTGCAGCACAGCTATGGCACTGCAGCTGTGCCAGCAGAGTGCAGTAGTGTAGACACTTCCTACAGTGACTGAAGAAGTTTTTTCCCTTGCTATAGTTAATCCACCTTTTAGAGAGGTGGTATCTAGGTTGACAAAAAAAAAAATTCCATCATCCTAGCCACGTCTACACAAACGGTTATGCTGGCTTAACTACGGTGCTCAGGAATGTGAATTTTTCACACCCCTGAGTGACATAGTTAAGTCAAGCTAAATTTTAAGTGTAGGCTAGGGCATCATTACTTAGGCCTTGTCTACACTACAAAATTAAGTCGACCTAAGTTAGGTCGACATAGAGCCATCGCAGTAACTACTGCATTTTGTTATGTCCACCCTAGCCCCTTCTGTCGGCAGTGCACTTCCTCACCAAGAGTGCTTCTACTGACTGAAGTGGGGCATTGTGAGGTACTGACAGCTGGAGCTGCCCCCCTGCTCCGGGGCTGACAGCCTGGAGTGCCTGCCGGGGCTGACCCTGGAGTCCTGCTGCTACCTCCCAGTGAGGGCCTGTGGGAAGGGAAGGAGAACCCAAGCCTGCCAGCCTCCCAGTGAGGGATTTGGGAAGGGAGTTAAGGAGATCCCGAGCCTGGCAGCCTCTCAGTGAGGGACTGGGGGGGAAGAGAGCCTGAGCGGTGGCTGGGTGGGCTTTCCTTCCCCACCCCCATCCCCAGTTCCTCACTGGGAGGCAGCGGCACAGCTCTGGGCTGTCAGCCCCAGTGTCTGGGCTCTGGGCTGTCAGTCCTGTGTATCTGACAAACAACAGGCAATGGTAGTAATGCAGCATCAACACTGACCTAAGCTCTACGCCTCTCGCAGAGGTGGAGCTATTAGATCAACGTAGTGACCAGCTTACATTGGTGGGAGCACCATTGTAATGTAAACATCTATAGAGTTAGGTCAATGTAAACTGCCTTATGTCGACCTAACTCGGTAGTGTAGATCAGGCCTTAGAACTTGCAACGCTGAGCACAGCAACACCTAAATACCTTTATAAATTTGGACTAATGTATCTGTGAGAAGGGTCAGGTTCATGAGTACATGGGCAGACCAGAAGGTGAAAGGAGAGAAAGATAGAAGGAACCTACAAAGACATAAGTGGTAATTTGGGAGCAGCAAAAGCAATTTAAGAGAGAAATGGGGATTTGGATGGAAGAGTCACACTGAGGGCAGAGAGAGATGAGATGAAAGATAGGGAAAAGGAAAAAGTATAAACTGATGGGGAAAAGAGATATTTTAGTAGCCAGCAGAGAAAAATATTAAGAGAAAGAAAACAAAATTGAAAACAAAAACTAGGATAGATAAGAAAGACAGAAGTAGAGATGAAATAACTAAGATTGGACTCAACTAAGGTCAGAAGAGTGGGAACAATTTAAAAAATAAAAGGAACATAGCCCTGGAACTATGGAAGAGAGAACAGTTAAAGGGCTGGGCACGAATGAAAACTGGGATGGGTATTTTGTTTTCTCTGTCCCCATTCTTTATTGTACAATTTCCCATGTTTTCTTTAATTTCTTCCAGTAGCAATTAGTGTGGCTGTCTATAACTTCTGTGTCAAGAAATATATGCTACAGGGGTTGATCGAACTCCCGTTTAAATAAAAAATCACAATGAGTTCAGTGGGAATTGGACCCACCTAAAGCTCTTTTTCAGCAGGCAGGGGAAGATTGCACACTGGGTCTTGTAAGGACCATGCTTTTTATCTGAATGGCTAAAGAGACAAGACTCAGAAGACTTGAGGAGGAGCTGGAGAAAGGAGTTGAGTCATGAGGGAAATATGGGATATAGTAAAGGAAGAGGGGTATTAAGTAGTTATGTGAGGGGCCCACTTGGGACCCACTATAGCATGTATAATAAGTAAATATACAAATAATTATACCTTACTGAAACTACCCTTATTTCAATTCCCACCATCTGTCCATCACTGCCTTCCAATGTCACTCTCCCCTATCACCCAGTTAGGGATAGGGCTGGCAGGGCCTTCAGAATTGAACACTTGGGGCCTGATTTTAAAAAGTATACAGAGAGAGGCCTAGTGGGAATTTCAAAAGTGCTTACACAGGTTAGGTGAAAAAGAGGGAGGTTTTTCATTATAATTCCTGCCCCTGCAGCCTAGCCTTTATACAACCTTTGTCTGTTTGTTAGTCAACAGTTCTAACTCCAAGGTTTGGAACAGGACCTTGAAATCCAGCAGGGGAGGACAGTTCTTGGGGCAATGATGTCATGTGCTTTTCCCATGAAAATCCACCCAGATTTGGCTGAGTTATAAAATGTGAAATATTGCTATTTGCACATGTGAATTAGCAATTATTCAGCATTTGCAGTTTCATTTTCTGAACATTCTAGCTGCACCACACAGGCTCCTCAGTGCTGCTGGAAAAACCTAGAAGTGGCTGGGCAATTTTAAAATGGGGTTTGTGTCCTTTTTTTATTCTTTATGATGCTTAAAGAAAGCCTACAAGATGTTTCTTTTTGCTGTGTTTTTCACTTCAGAAACCTCATTAGTGGCAAGCCTAGTTTTCCTTTTTTCTAGAAGACTTGTTGGAGGCCTCAGATGGGTATTAATAGCTTTCTCACACCTTAATGGAGAGGTAAGTTTGATAGATATTTATCAAATAAGATATTTCTCAAAAATACTTAGGTTTTGATATTAAATAGATGTTAATAACTGGTGTCTTAAACTTTAGTCTGACTATTCCCAATCTTCAGCCTCTTCTGGTGTCATAATTTCACAGCTCCTCTTTTGTTTGGAGTATATAGTGTTGTCAAGGTCTGAACTTGTAATGAAAATGAGCAGATTTACAAAAACAGAAAAAAGGTTTTCCTGTCTTCTTTATACATTACAACATTTTAAAAAAGGGACACAAGCCTCTTGTATGAGAAATGCATAAGGAAAATAGCCCAGTGACTATGGACTTGCGCTGTCTTAAATCAGCAGTATAGGTTGCAACAGGCCATTAATAACGCGGGTGTGGCTTGTCAAGTGCTTTCAGATGCCTGGCACGGAGGCTGCGGTTACTCAGACATAAGACTATAGGGCACCGGTTCCCCACTTGGTAGCTGGTTTGCAGCCAAGTAATGAGGAAGGATGCGCGAGGGTTTCAACTGCTCATCCAACCTGGAGCTGCTCAGGCCCAAGGCTGGCTCTTAAAGCCTCGCCCAGTGGGCACCACAGGGGATTGAATGGCATCTCCTTGGAAACCCTGAGGACTGGAGCTCCTCCGCTTCGACCCGCCTGGAAACCCTCAACCTTCCCGCGGGGAGCTCTGACGCAACCCAGCTGCGGGACGCTGCCCACCCTCTCCCGGGGCCTGCCCGAGGGCATCCCTCAGCGCCTGCGCAGAACGGAAACTACACATCCCGGCATGCTCCTCGCTGTACCTGGGCCAATCAGCAAGGAGAACCCATTTCCCTCCCCACCCCGCCGCCGTGGGCGGGAAATACCCACGCGGGGTGGGAAAAGGCACCTCAGTTTGCCCCGGCAAAGGGCTGCCGGCTGGTGCCAGGGCGCAGAGCGGGGGCGCTGGGAAGCCTGTAGTGTCTCGGCAGCTGGGCCCACAGAGGGATGAGGGGTGGCCTCAGAGAGACCGATATAGGGGGCAGCGGGTCCCTCACAGAGCTGGGGGTGGGCTGAGCCCGGGGTGACTGAAGGGCAGATAGGGAAGAGCCGCGTCGGGACTTGGCGGTTACAGCCCAGCGCGCTGTCAGTCAGGGGGCGTGAGGTCCTTGGCTGCCGTTTGGTTGGCTCAAGCCGCGCGAGCCCGCCCACGTGCTCCTTTTCTTGTTCGCGCGCGCTGTCAATCAGTGTTCTGGCGGCTGGAGACGGAGGCGTTTTGCCGCTCACCACCCCCGGCTTGGCTCCTCCCCTTCCCTGCCTCGCTTCGCGCTGTCAGGCAGCTCGGGGAGCCCTACTGCAGGCGAAGGTTCGCTCAGCTCGCCTACTCCGCAGCTCGCGCCGCCTTGGCCCCACCCTCTCCCTCCCGGCGCGAGGGCCCCCTGACTTGGCTTGTTCTGAGCTTGGGTCGCGCGGAGCTCGGCTCGTTAGCTGTCTCGCACCGCCGTAGCCTAGCCCCGCCCATTTACGAGGAGCCCAGCTCCGTCGGAGAGGAGCGACCGAGTCGGCTGCTGGGCTCGGTTTCCTGCTCAGTGGGCGTCAGTTGGGCCTCTCTGGGCCCCGCCCCTCCTTCCCCCTCGGCTGGCTCTGAGCTGTCAATCAGGCGCCGGGCTCAGGGGCAGGCGGCGGCGGCGGGCGGAGAGAGGCAGCTACGCCACAGCCCAGCGGCGGCCATTCGTGGAAAAATAGGCCGTCCCGCTCCTCCCAGCTCCGGCTGCGACCGGCCTTCTCCCCGCTACCCCCACCCCACCCTCCGCCTCCTCCGCCTCCTCCTCCCCCCCAGAGCGGCGCCTCAGCGGGGCATTAATGCGGGATGAGCGGTATGTAACCCCCTCCCTCCTTCAGCCCGCTGCATCTCCATCCCTCATCCTCCTTTCTTCTCTGCTCTCCCCTCTATCCCGCCCTCTTTCAGTCCTCCTCTGGCCCTCCTTCTTCCCCCCTTTCTTCTCTTCCTACCCTGCCCACTCCGCTCTCCGTCCCTCCTCTTTCCCTCCCTCCTCCATTCCCCTCTTCTCCCCTAACCCTTCCTCCTGGGCACAGCCTTCCCTCCTTCATTCCTCTTTTCCTTCCCTGTACAACCCTCCTCCTGCCTGGCCGTCGATGCTTTAGGGGCAGGAGGAGGGTTGTGGGTGGGTTTTCCCCCCTGCTGTCTGGGAGAGGAAATCAAACCTCCCCTTTCTGGGTGTTAACTCTCCAGCCCCCATGGGTTGGGTTTCAAACCACGTTTTTTGGGACGGGCTCTTTTGTCATAATGATTTGGATTATGGTTTTCACAGAGAGGTAAAATCGAAGGGATTGGGTACCAAAGAGGAGGTGCCAATAGGTTTTCCTTTTGTATAAAGAAAGGTGAATAATTAACCTGTTATGCTTCATGTTTTTTGCAGATCAAAAGAAGGAGGAAGTTATGCCCACAGAGGGAGAGAAATCTCCTGAGGCAGAGAACAATAATAATAAAAAAAATAAAACTGGAGGCTCACAGGTAACTCATGCACACAAAATGGGAATTGCACACCTCTTAGCGTTTAAAACGAAATGTGCAGTTAACTGAATTTCCCATTCAAGGCGTCTTTCTTTTGGGTGGGTGAAACATGAAGGGTAATCTTGACTGCCTGGACATGTTTTCTGGGTGGATTATACTTTAAACTGATAAACTGCTTGCTGTGTATTGAAGAATTTTGTAAAAAGGACTGGATTGAGGAAGAAACACTTCGGCAGTAGTTTTATTTATTGGTGATAAAAGGCCTTATTTTTCAAGCATATATGAGGATCTGAGAATGTACTTCCTCATTCAGTACTGTATGATCTCTCTGTGTACTAAAACGTCTTAAGCATTTTTGTGTTTCCTGAATAAACTTTGATAGTTGAACTGTCAGAAATAACTCTCACCCACTCTTCTAAATTTGCTGCTGTTTTCTCTCTTTATGGGTAGGATTCTCAACCTTCACCTCTGGCTTTGCTGGCAGCCACTTGCAGCAAAATTGGGACTCCTGGTGAGAATCAATCAACTGGACAACAGCAGATTATTATAGATCCAAGCCAAGGTTTGGTGCAGCTTCAAAATCAACCACAACAGTTAGAATTAGTAACAACTCAGCTTGCTGGAAATGCAAATGCATGGCAGCTTGTTGCTGCTGCTCCTCCTGCTTCAAAAGAAAACAATGTTGCTCAACAAGGATCTTCTGTTGCATCAAGCACAGCAAGTCCTTCCGGCAGCAACAATGGGAATACATCTCCTTCAAAAACTAAATCAGGCAATTCTTCTGCTACTAACCCTGGACAGTTTCAAGTAGTACAAGTACAGAATCCAAGTGGTAGTGTCCAATACCAAGTGATCCCACAGATTCAGACAACGGAAGGTCAGCAAATTCAAATCAATCCTGCCAATGCTACAGCTCTACAAGATTTACAGGGTCAAATTCAGCTCATCCCTGCAGGGAATAATCAAGCTATCCTCACAACTGCAAATAGGACCACTTCGGGGAATATTATTGCTCAGAACCTGGGAAATCAGACAGTTCCAGTCCAAATTAGGCCTGGTGTTTCAATACCACTGCAACTGCAGACTATTCCAGGTACTCAGGCTCAGGTTGTAACAACCTTGCCTATAAACATTGGAGGAGTAACTCTAGCATTGCCTGTGATAAACAATGTGGCAGCAGGAGGTGGTTCTGGACAGGTTGGCCAGACTGCTGATAGTGGAGTTTCCAATGGGAATCCGGTAGTATCCACGCCTGTCACTACTGCTTCTGTTAGTACTATGCCAGAATCCCCTTCCTCTTCTTCCATTTGTACAACCACTGCCTCAACAACTCTGACTAGCAGTGACACTTTAGTAACCTCAGCAGAGGCAGGCCAGTATGCAAGCACAGCAGGCAGCAGTTCAGAGCATACTCCTGAAGAACCTCAAACAACTGCCACAGAATCAGAAGCCCAGAGCTCCAGTCAGCTTCAGCCTAATGGACTACAAAATGTGCAGGATCAGTCAAGTTCACTTCAACAGGTGCAAATTGTAGGTCAGCCTATTCTACAGCAAATACAGATCCAACAGCCGCAACAGCAGATTATTCAAGCCATTTCTCCACAGTCATTTCAGCTCCAGTCAGGGCAAACTATTCAGACCATCCAACAACAGCCTTTGCAAAATGTTCAGCTGCAAGCAGTGAGTCCAACTCAGGTACTCATCAGGGCTCCAACTTTAACACCATCAGGGCAGATCAGTTGGCAAACTGTGCAGGTTCAGAATCTTCAAAGCCTTTCAAATTTGCAAGTTCAGAATGCTGGGTTACCCCAGCAACTAACCATCACCCCAGTGTCTTCAAGTGGGGGCGCAACTATTGCCCAGATTGCACCAATGGCTGTTGCTGGTACCCCAATCACACTGAATGCTGCCCAGCTTGCTTCAGTGCCTAACCTCCAAACAGTAAGTGTTGCCAGCCTCAGTGCAGCAGGTGTTCAAGTTCAAGGAGTTCCAGTTACCATTACCAGTGTTGCAGGTAAGTGTTCTATCTCACGTATTTTCTTATATTTAGTAGTGCTGGGCATTGAGCGTGTTTTTGCTTATATTTCTGGGTTTAACATTGTAAGAAAATAAACTAACATTTTAAAAGTGATTTTTTTTAAATGATATGGAGATAGATAGGTCGGGACCCCTCAGGGTCATGAGGTTATTACCTGGGGGGTTGCGAGCTCTCAGGCTACACCCCAAGCCCTGCTTTGCCTCCAGCATTTATAATGGTGTTTAAATATATAAAAAAGTGTTTTTAATTTATACAGGGGGTCACACTCAGAGGCTTGTTGTGTGAAAGGGGTCACCAGGACAAATGTTTGAGAACCACTGAGAGAGATGTATCCAGATCTCCCATCTGAGGCCTTTTCTAAATATGGAACTTGATTTCATTTGATTATCTATCATTTTGAAATTATATTTGAGAAAGCGTTGTTTAGAACATGTATGACAGAAAAAAGGACCATTTACTCTCAGTTTACCAAAGGTATGCTTTTTAGGGTTCTTTGTTGTCTGAGACTCTAGTAGTAAAACTTTATATAGTTATCCAAATTTTCTGCAACATTAAATTTTTGGAGAACTTTCAACTCTCTTGATCTAATGCTGGTAATTTCTAGTCTCGATGATGTAGGTGAAGATGGAGATAGCAAGTGAACTTAGATAATCTTGTGGCTAGTACTCACTTCAGTTGATTATAGAATTGCTTATCATTATGTAATTTCTGCACTGATCCCTTTACAGTCAGGGTTTCACAAATATATTATATGGCTGTAGAATGAGTAAAATGCTCTGAATTTGTACATATAGAACAGTGATTCTCAATGTGCAGGTTGCTTGCAGCCCAATCAGCACACAGCTGTGGCCCATGTGATATCTTCTGGGCCATACAGGTAGTATATATGTTGTGCGGATGTGGCCCACATAACACACAGAGAGCTGCATATGTGGCCCACAATGGTAAATAGGTTGAGAACTACTGATATAGAGCATAATTCCCATAGTCTGTTTAAAAATTACTCTTAGCTGTGGTTCAGTGTTTAGTATTGGAAGTCTTAATTTACATTGTAATATACTTGTCTGATTGCTCTTCTGGTAGGCTAGGAAGAACTGTTTTTAAATACCTAAATGCCTGATAAGAATTTTTTCATAAATATTCTGAAAGTGAATTCTGCAGGGTCTCTGCAGTTCCACAGTCGGGGGGAGGGGGAGACAGGTTGGTAGGGGCGCGTGTGTGTCTGTGCGTGAGAAATATATAAAATTTTAAAGTTAATTTTCATATGTAAAGTTTTAGCAAAATATTTCACTTTTTTTATTACTTTTTAATTGACACAATTTAGAGATTCTTCCCAATTTAGTAGTGAGGAATAGAAAAATCTCCAGTGTGTAGACTTATAATCAAATTACCACTAGAAAAGGTTTGCTAGTATAGATATACCTAGTGAAGATGCAGCTTCTGCCAGCAAAAAATGTTTTTGCCAGAATACTTTATACACGTTTCTTGAGCAAAATAAACTGTTCTGGCAAAAGCACTCTTTTTGTCAGTGAACTGCATCTGCACTAGAGGTTTTGCCAGTATTAAAAATATATATATTTTAGACACTTCATCTGACTTTATTATACTGTCAGAAGTTTCTAGTGTAGATCTAGCTTTACTGTTGTACAGGTATGCATATGCTAAGCAGGACGTTTCATGTTAAATGAATTAAAACTGTTGTAGCTGTAGGCCTGAGGATTCTTCACTTTTTTTCAGGGGGGATTTAGCCATCATTTCTAACTTCTCATAAGCAGACCTGAAAGCTAGTGTAGTTTTGTATCTCCTGTGGTACTTTCTTTGTTTTTTTTTTTTCATGGTTTTAACTGTCAAGAACTAGTTTGTAATGATGCCATCATATCTCTGTATTTTCATTTTCCTCTGCAATATGGAGTTCAGGTCACTTGCTGGGATTATCTGGGTACAAGTCACTTAACCAGTTCCCTTCCACTGTAGGGTCCTTGGGCATTGGTGCACCTCTGTCACTTCTAGTCTCTATCTGTGGCATGTAATAGTGTGGTTTCCTATGGACTCTAACACTTTGGTCTGATTTCAGCTGCTGGATTTAATGTGCAGGTGCAGGGTGGTGGTTGTAGCCCATAATATATACGGGAGGTCAGACTAGATGATCTGATGGTTTCTTCTGACCTTAAACTCTGACACCGTGTGCTGCTATTAATACTCCTGGGTTATTTGAAAAAACAGTAAGTTTCAGTGGTGTCTCATCTCTAATCAACATTACAATCTTGACCTTTGGCTGCTCTGGTTCAAACAAATAATATTGCACTCTGGGAATTGATTACATAGTTCTGCTGTAGCGCTAGCTGGCCCGTTTGGATTGGAAAATTGTCTTGGACGGGGGATTTTGCATATAGTCAAAAGAACTCGTTAACATGGAACTCTTACTGGGAAGACTGCTTGGGGAAGCAATATAGGAAACAACAAATTTTCTGTTTCCTGTATGCTGTTTAGGCCTCAACTGTGTACTAGGCATAAGTGGGAATTTGACTGAAAGGATAATATTGAGTTTTTTGACCATGCTGCTGTTCACACAGTTTACCAGCCTAGGTTATGATGTCTTCTCTTGGAAAGAGGCAGAGGGAGCAAGACATAAGGTGGGGGGAGAGAAGTCAAATGGCAGTTGTATGGTACTAGGGAGGCTTCACAGTAGATGAAGGTTCTTGCCTCTTGTCCCTTCCTCCGAAAACATTGTTCACATACGGAGCACACTTGCTGAGTGTTCTTGTGAATGAGGTTAGGTGAATATTGATTAAATATCTCTTAAATATACCTACATCTTTCCTTGAAATATTTCTCCATTAATATGAATATTGTGGAATAGAGAAGAGGACTAAAAATTAACTGAATTTTACTTGTGGCTGTCGCTAGTGAAAAGCCTTAGTTAATAGTTTAAATTACTGTTCATTAGGAGACTCCATAGACTGCTAATTCACTATGATCTGATGTCACATGTAGAAATTAGGTTGGAGTTTTGTGACTTAATGGAGATTCTACCACCATTTATAAACTTAATGTTTTAAAAAAGATACTGCTTTTTGCTAGAAATGTTCTCACGTGCATAATAGAGGTGAACTACTATAAGCTAATAATTATATTCCATTGTCATAGATCCATAAATACAGATGAAAAGGGGAACTGTCATAATTGTCTTCAGGTAGTGTATTTTTTTTTATTTTTTTTTATTTTATTTATTTATTTTTTTGCAAAGTAATGTCCATCAATAAGTTCTGTCTTGCTTTGGCAATTTGTTTCATGTCTCTACTGCAGTGGGGGGGGGGGGTCACACCAGGGGCTCCTTGCATTTCTCCATTTTACCTCCTACCCACAGCTCTGTGTGCCAGACTCACATCCCCCTCTATTTTAGGGATTCCTGTGACTTCCACCTCTCCAAAAATGGAGCTCTCTGTGCCCCTCATTTCCCTTCTCCAACGGTAGGGGCTGTGTGTGGCCCCTTATTCTCCCCTGTGCTGCATGCCAGATTCCCTCAGTCTTTCTCTTATAGGGGTTCTTTGTGGCCTCCCATGTCCATCTCTTCTCCCACGCTAGAGGCTCGGTGTGCCTCTTTCCCCCTCCCCTATTATGCCAGAGATTATGTACACACTTTCCTCGCTCCCATTATTCTTTCTGTCTGGGAGATAGATCATTCAGGGTGTCAACATGTTAAATTCTGTTGGGAGGAAAGACAGAGAGGAGATAGTGGTATTTTATTGGCAGGCACTAATGAATGCCATCAACCAGTTGTTTGACCTATAGGTAGTTACAAAGGTGCTTGAAACTCTGGCTCTGCTAATCATAAGAGGGGCTCCATGAATCCTCCATGTTTCCCCTTTCTGATTTTTCACTAAAATCCATAGGGTTCTGGCCACTGATGCCTAGAACACTTCCTGAAATTGTGGAATTGAGTGGGTGTGGGCAATCAAAAATTATCACGTTACAAAGGCACAAACAGAAACGCTGTTAAGTTGAATGCCAGGACTTTGCAAGCTTAGTCAATAAAGAAGTAGTAGTGCATAGAGAATTACTTTATTAACCATTAAATATATGTAATGCATACTTCACTAGATAGCAATAGATTATTGTAAAAAGGCTAACTTTTTATTCTTTTGTTAGTCCAGTGTAGTTAGCTGCTATGTAAATTTGTATTAGTTTTATGCTGTTCATTCCACACTCATTTGTAAATGTTTACATCTGTTAATGTCAAATTTACTGGAATTTCAACTTGCATCGTTGAATTCTGACAAGATCAATGCAATTAAGCTTTGTCCAGCATTTATAGTGAAGACATCTATCATGGCATCCTAGTGTAATAGTTAACCCTCTGCTATTCTAGCAGATAACCTCAGCAAACCCATGGTGTTATCTGCCAGATACAGGTTCCGGCATTTTATGATTGATTTCAGATGTGGAAAGGTCAGATTTACTTTCTGAAAAGTTGCTTTCGCCTAATGCTCAACATGTAGGTCATGAATGGATTGTGGCTTGGAACCTTGAACTTGCTGAGACTGCCTTAAAGCCATGTAGTTCTAGTCATCCAGAATTCCTAAAGACATACAGGGCCTGATCCTGAAGTCAGCGGAAGTTTTGCCTGAACGTGGACTGTAGGATCTGGCTCAGAAATTGGATGCCTCAACTAACATAAGACAAGGAATCATTGCATTCTTCCAATCTGTTGTTAAAAGGATTGGTCTTTACCTGATCAGTTTAGAATCCAAGGCTTGATCTTGTTTTCAGTTCTTAGTAATATGAGGACTGTAAGATTGGGCTTCTAGTCAGAATGTCTTATGTAACTTTCAATACATATAGTGTGTGCTAGATCATGCTGTGCTTTGGAATATTTTATTATATGTATTGCAGTAGTGCTTAGTAGCCGCATCTGTTATGTTAGTATTAATGTAATAAAATGGTCTCTGGAATACAGACTCTAACTCCACACTTTT